TTTTTCTATCATTTCGCATCTGATTAACGTACTTGCATCCGTTTAAGAATGATAATTATGTCAAATTAAAGGTAAAGATTCGCATTTTCGAACGCTGTAAGTCGCATTTGTATGTGATTTTTATTTCACTCCAAGGAACTTCACAAATTTAGTAACAAAATTTTAGAATTGACGCATCTGCATTTGCTTCCGTGTAGCTTTGTAAAGAATCAAAAATCCATAATTTCATAAATTATGTTTTTCGAAAGTACAGAATTCAAGTTGTAAAATGCTTTTTAGATCATTCTGTTACGATTATTTTTGACAAAGTTACACTCTTGAAATTTATCTATTTTTAGCGATTAGAATAGGTAATGCTTTAATTTTGATGTCGAGTGTATATGTGCAAGTAAATATGTCAAAGCGTAGAAAAATACATAATATATAATATATAATATATAAAATTATATAATATAATTTTTAACACAATTTTATAAATACTGTTTACTTTATGCGTTTCTCGCATTTTTAATTACTGAAACAATTTTTTACTTTTTTTTAACTTCTTTAAAATTTGTGCGACATATCTGACTGAAAAACTGCATTAGTTCGAATAAACAATATTATCTTTAAAAAAAAAAGGAAAAGAACAATTAAATACTATAATGTTACAAAACTTAAAAATCTCGTCTTATTACTTTTCAGGAAATACTGCAATATTGAACAAATGGACTGCCAATTCAATACGTCGTACCGGTCTATGTGCAGATCATTTTAATCCAAGTTCCTTCTCGGGAACAGATAAGAGGAGATTAAAACGAGATGCTGTTCCAATAACATTCAACATCTGCTTACAGGAAAGAGAAACAACAAATACAGGTATGAGATAAAACATACAAAACATTAATAACGTTTTAGGGATACCGGTAGAGATAGGTGTACAAAACGTACAAAACATTAATAACGCTTTTGAGATACCGGTAGTGTTCGAAATTCGCGCTACAACGCGCGAGTCGCGCACCGGACAGCTCGGCCAATCACTTCGCCCGCGGGACCGATGTGTGACATCGGCACATTTGGCGACTCCAAAACTGCCTGTTTACTTGTTTTGCTTAACTTGACTCTGACGTCAGAGTCAAGTTGGGCAAAACAAGTTTTGCTTGGCTCTGACGTCAGATGATTGCCGAACAACAGCTCGACCATTCGAGACCACCGAAGGCAATAAAAAGGGAGAGCGGGCGGAGTCAAAAGCCAGTCGAAAAATAGTCGTCGAGAATTTGCACCGTCACATTCGGTAGAATTTCGCCCCGCGACTAGCGCTCTCGCTGTACGGCCTTGTCCTTCGTCATTACAAAGAATTACACGTGTGATCAAATTAAAAGTCTGATTTATTAAAATCCGCTACATCTCCAATCCTCGCGATTCTCGCTCGTCGTTCGCTTTGTTCTTTTCGCCCATTGTTTGGTCCTTCGAGCCGGATTTTTCCGTTCCGAATCTGCCGCAGCCTCTCGCGGCGCGAAACCGGAAACCAGTGTAGTGGTGTGCTGCGATCTGAAAAGCGAAATGGAGCGATTAATCGGACTGCAACATGAGTTATACGGGCGTATCGCGCGTACGTACGAAAACTTGAAGAAGTCGGGAGCGAGTAAAATTTCCTCCGCCCTTGTACGGTCGTCCTTGGCCGTGCTTGAGAGCAAATGGGCAAAGGTGGAAGCTCAGCATGAAACACTGCAATCTGAGCACTGGGACGAGCTGCAGAAGCACGATTACATCAAGGAGGACCTAATCAGCGACATCGAGGCAATGTATATCGAGCAACGCGCCCAATTGCTGGAGATCGAGCAGTCATTAACTGCCTCGAGCTCGTTCGACGAGAGCAAAACGAAAGTCGAACCCACTAGTCATCGCAAGGTCCTACCCCGCATTCAGTTGCCGCAGTTTTCAGGGCGATTCGAGGACTGGCCAGCATTTCGGGACTTATTCCAGTCCATTGTCGCGCATGAGACCTCCCTCTCGAAAGTGGAGAAACTGCATTATCTGAAGACTTGCGTGAAGGGTGATGCAGAGCAGCTCATTAGGAACATACCATCCACAGAAGAGAATTTCGATCGCGCATGGGCCGAACTGACCGACCAGTTTGAGAACAAGCGACTGTTGGTTCGGTCTTACCTCGCCGCCTTTACTTCACTGCCAAAAATGAAGTCAGACTCTGCAGCAGATCTTCGCCGAATATTTCATGGCGTCGTGTCCACCGTCGGAGCCCTTGAGGGCATCAATCGACCCATAACCACCTGCTCCGACCTGTTCATCCATCTGGCTGTGGAACTGTTGGACTCCAAAACGCGCCGTGAGTGGGAAAATTCCCTCGGACGGTCAGCTGTACCACCTTCGTACGAGGAGCTCAAGGACTTCCTTCAGGAGCAAGTGGTGACACAGGAGGTTCTCGAAGCTGCGAAGGCCGATCGGCCGTCCGCCGGGAAGTCCTCCACTCGCAACCACCACACTAGGAGGCCAGGACAGGAGTCGAGCCGTTTGTGTCCAGTCTGTAAGCAGAATCACTTCATAATGGTATGTCCCCAGTACAAGCAGAAACCCGCAGCGGAGAAACGAGACATCGTGATCGCTCATCACCTATGTTTGAATTGCCTGGGGCGACACCAGGTGAGCGACTGTCCCTCTCAGCGTTGCTGCGTTAAGTGCAACGCCCGCCACCACACCTCGCTTCACGAGGCGTTCACGAGCGCAAGCCCCGCTGCCGCTGTACACGTCGCAAAACCACCGCCAGTGGGCTGCACAACAATTTTACTCGCGACCGCGCGCGTTCTCGTGTGCGACCACTTCGGTGTGCAACATTCCGTCCGCGCGCTCATCGACTCCGGATCGGAAACCTCAATGGTTAGCGAGTCGCTGGCTCAGCGGCTCCGACTGCCCCGTACTCCGACGTCCGTCGCTATCTTCGGAATCGGTGGCCAACAGACTGGTGTGGCTCGCGGACGCGTCTCCTTCACGCTCGCATCGCGCTCGGCTGCATTCCGCGTCAAGATTTCCGCGCTCGTATTTCCGCGACTGACAGCATACGGCGGTGACATCGGCCGAGCCTCGCGAGCGTGGCCACATCTGGAGGGCCTCGATCTGGCGGATCCTGAGTTCCTTGAGCGCGATCCCGTTGAGCTGCTGCTGGGCGCTGACGTCTTTGTGCACATCGCCTTACCAGGCCTGCGTCGAGGGGGCCCGGCCGAACCTATCGCGCAACAAACCCAATTAGGTTGGGTAATCCTCGGCACCGCGGGCTCTGGCCAGTCCGCGTGCGTCACTTCTATGCAATGTTCTCCGAGTGATGACCTGTCCGCGCTCGTCCGCCGATTCTGGGAGGAGGAAGAGTCGCCGCACGCGCCCGTGCCACTCTCCCAAGACGACCAGGAATGCGAGACGCATTTCGTGCAGTCTCACTCCCGCGACCTCAGTGGTCGCTATCAGGTCCGACTACCTGTGCGACCGGGCATCCCGGATCTCTCAGCAACGCAGCACGAATGATCAGCGCAGTGCGGCGCCGCTTCTCTCGAGATCCTGCACTCCAGTCCATACTCCAGTATTGTGCCTTCATGCGTGATTACCTCGAACTCGGGCACATGTCGGCCTCGATCCCCCTCCAGGACGCAGCCTCTGGGCGAGTGTGCTATTTGCCTCGGCTATTCGTCACGGCGTGATGAAGGGTACAGGCGACAGCGCTAAAATACGGGTCGTCTTCAACGGCTCTTCGCGCACAAACTCCGGAACCTCTTTGAACAATTGGCTTCGCGCGGGTCCGAACTTGCTTCCTGCATTGTCGGACGTGCTCACTCGGTGGCGGCATCACCGCTTCGTACTCGCCACCGACATTGAAAAGATGTACCGGCAAATCTCGGTACACCCGGAGGACCGGGACCTCCAGCGGATCCTGTGGGGCATGGAGGAAATCACCGAGCATCAGCTCAACACAGTGACGTATGGACTTGCCTGTGCGCCATTCTTGGCGATTCGAGTCCTGCATCAACTGGCAGACGACGAGGGAGACAGATTCCCTCTGGGCGCTGAGGCTGTGCGTTGTGACACGTACGTGGATGACATACTCTCGGACGCGCCCACACTTGCGGGGGCACAGCGGTTACGGGAGCAGCTGACGTGGCTGTGCACGGCGGGCGGCTTCCCGCTGCGCAAGTGGTCTGCGAACCATGACCAAATACTTCAAGGCGTTCCAAGAGAGCACTGCAGCCAAGGGGCGACCGATACAATACTGCCTTCTGCGGCCCAATCCATCCTCGGCCTGCGATGGGATCACGAGATCGACTGCTTCGCACCCACGGTGCGCACCATGCCACCAGGCCAAGAAACGAAGCGGTCCCTACTCTCTGGAACGGCCCGCCTGTTCGATCCGTTGGGGTGGCTGGCTCCCGTCACCGTGCGGGCCAAATTATTGATTCAGGCGACGTGGCTCCAGCAGCTCGACTGGGACGCCCCTCTGGCCGAAGAGGAGAGCACTGCCTGGGCGAGGATGAAGGACGAGCTCCCCCTCTTGGAGGGGATTCGCGTGCCTCGCTGGATGCAAAGCGACCAGCCGGGAGCCTCCGTCGAGGTGCACGGCTTCTCTGACGCGTCCGAGCGAGCCTACGCCGCGGTCGTGCATCTGCGGACGACGTGCGCGGAGAGCGAGCGCACGTCTTTGGTGCTGGCCAAGACCAGGGTCGCCCCATTACGCCGCGTCTCGCTTCCGCGATTGAAGCTCTGCGCTGCCGCGCTCCTTGCCAAGTTGGTCGCGCACACGCGGGCCACTCTGACCTTGACGCGGGCCCCGACGTTCATGTGGACGGATTCGACAGTAGTGCTCGGATGGATCCGGGGTCCACCCCGCCAGGTGGACAACCTTCGTCGCCAACAGGGTCGCCGAGGTGCATCGCCTGGTGACGGATGCCCGGTGGCGGCACGTGCCCGGACGAGACAATCCGGCGGACTGTGCATCCAGGGGGTGTCGCCGCGAGAGCTGCTCTCACACCCGCTCTGGTGGCAGGGACCCGGCTTCCTTCGCCAGGAGAGTTCGTCCTGGGGAGCCGGAGGTTGCGGCGATCGCGGACCTCCCGGAGCAACGGACGATCCAGCACACCGCCGCGACTGAGGAGCAGGAGCCGGAGGAGCTTACTCGATTCTCGTCACTTCAAAGAGCGACGCGAATCACTGCCTGGATGCTCCGATGGCGTCCGAGGAGCGCTGCGCGCGAGATTCAGCCTCCACGTACTTCCGGGCCTCTGACTGCGAAGGAGCTGGAGTCGGCATTGAGATTGTGGATTCGGATGGTGCAGCGGCGGGCTTTCCGGTCGGAGCTCGAGGCGGTCACCGCAGGGCGCGGTGTTCCGGCGCGCAGCGCCCTCCGTCGGGTCACTCCTATGGTCGACCCCCAGGGCATTTTGCGTGTAGGGGGTCGCCTAAGGCACGCTCTGCTAAGCACGGATCAAATGCACCCAGTGATCCTGCCACCGGACTCCCGCCTCACTCACCTTGTGATCGACGCAAATCACCGACGCACCCTGCACGGGGGCACTCAGGCGACACTGGCGGCCGTGCGACAGCGCTTCTGGATACCGCGTGGACGGCAGCTGGTTCGACGTCACATTCACCGATGCGTTCGATGCGTTCGATGGCGGGCGGCCTCTCCTCAACCTTTGATGGGTAGCCTCCCAAGGGCACGAGTGACCCCCGGCGGACTATTCTTACATACCGGCGTGGACTTCGCCGGCCCGATTTGGCTGCGGACGACCAAGGGCCGTGGTCATAAGGCCTACAAGGCATTTGTGTGTGTATTTGTCTGTTTCAGCTCGCGAGCCGTGCACCTCGAAGTCGTGAGCGACTACACCTCCGAGGCCTTTATCGCCGCGTTCCGCCGTTTCGTGGCGCGGCGCGGGCTCTGCAGCGCCATCTACAGCGACTGCGGAACCAATTTCGTGGGGGCAGACAAGCAACTCCGAGCGCTTTTCCGATCTGCAGGCCAGGAGGTGCACGAAATTTTGGGACAACTCGCTGCGGATGGGATCCAGTGGCACTTCAACCCCCCAGCGGCGCCCCACTTCGGGGGCCTGTGGGAGGCGGCTGTCAAATCGACAAAGAACCATTTGCGCCGGGTCATCGGGGAAGCCCGACTTACCTTCGAGGAAATGACGACATTCCTTGCGGAGGTGGAGGCCTGCCTAAACTCGCGCCCATTACAGGCTTTATCGGACGACCCTGAGGATCTGGACGCCCTAACCCCGGGGCATTTTCTAATTGGCCGGCCGCTTAACGCGATCTCGGAACCGTCCTTGCGAGATGTTCCGCCCAATCGTCCGAGTCGTTGGCGACTGCTCCAAAACATGAGGGACCACCTATGGCACCGTTGGTCGCAAGAATATGTCCAGAGCTTGGCCCCTCGCCCAAAATGATGGAAGACGGCCCCGGCGCTGAAGGAAGGCCAACTATGTCTCCTGCGGGGTGAGGCCACCCCACCCTCTCGCTGGCCTCTAGCTTGCATCGTCCGCCTGCACTCGGGCGATGACGGACACGTGCGGGTGGTGGGTGTGCGGACCCCTTCCGGACACCTGACACGACCTGTCGTCAAAATCGTGCCCTTGCCACTCTCGTGTGAGAGCGGGACCGACAAGGGGCAACATTAGCATTAAGACACTTGTTGTACATGTATATACTGTAAATAGCAATGTAATTCTCTTACCTGTAAGCACGCGTAGCATTTCGGACAATCCACAACAGCCATAATTGACACACAGTCACAAGCTACAATCGCCGGATATCCCGTCGAGGCGGGCGGGATGTTCGAAATTCGCGCTACAACGCGCGAGTCGCGCACCGGACAGCTCGGCCAATCACTTCGCCCGCGGGACCGATGTGTGACATCGGCACATTTGGCGACTCCAAAACTGTCTGTTTACTTGTTTTGCTTAACTTGGCTCTGACGTCAGATGATTGCCGAACAACAGCTTGACCATTCGAGACCACCGAAGGCAATAAAAAGGGAGAGCGGGCGGAGTCAAAAGCCAGTCGAAAAATAGTCGTCGAGAATTTGCACCGTCATATTCGGTAGAATTTCGCCCCGCGACTAGCGCTCTCGCTGTACGGCTTTGTCCTTCGTCATTACAAAGAATTACACGTGTGATTAAATTAAAAGCCTGATTTATTAAGTCCGCTACAATTCCAATCCTCGCGATTCTCGCTCGTCGTTCGCTTTGTTCTTTTCGCACAGGTAGAGATATGTGTACAAAGAAGTGACATTGACATAGAAACAACAGAAAAAGATAATGTGGAAATAGAATTACTACGTGATCCAAATAAACCTGTTAAAACGTACCGTCCTGCAAAAATAAATTTTGATACTTCGGAGGAAGATGAAAATATAATGGAATGGATTCATTTAGAACCTGAAAAAAGTAATCATTTGAAACCTGGAAAAAGCAAAAATGTTAATGCGAGTGACGCGGCACCTGTAAAATTGGCAAAAAAAGAAATGAAAAAACTAATAAACTGTAATACGAGCAAAAAATCACAATCGGAAATAATTGATTATTACAAGCAAGAAAACGCTCGTTTGTGTTTAATTATAAATAACCTAAAATATCGTTTGCGTAATCGAAGAGCATATAGAAAAGCAACAAGTAAAAGAAGCCAAAAAAAATTATATAAAATTTAATAGAAAAACAAAATGTAGACCCTGTTACTAAAGCAATGATAAATTTGCAACTCCATGTACCAAAAGCGCAATATACACTAGAAGAGAAAATACTTGCGCAACTGTTATTTTATTATTCAGCTTCTGCGTTGCGCCACTTACGAGAGGCAGGTTGTACGTTCCCTAGTGAACGAACCATTAGAAGATGGCATGAGGAATATAATATCATGCCAGGATTTAATGATTTTATTTTTAAAAAACTGGAGGAAAAATTTGCAAAGCTACCTGCGGAAGAAAGAGTATATGCTCTGAAATGGGATGAGATGTCTATAAAGTCATATAAAGAATATACACTTCATTTAGATCAAGTAGAAGGACTTGTAGATCTTGGGCCTTTAGGAAGAAAAAACAAGAGAGCTAAATGTGTTTTTGTATTTTCCTTAGATAGTATTAGCGCGCGTAATTCATGGCGTCAGCCATTGGCATATATTTTTCCAGGAAAAGATAGTATGAAAGCAGATGAAATAATAATTTTATTAGAAGAATGTTTGGGTAGACTGAGCAAAGCAGGTGTCGATGTGCGAATTCTGACATGTAATCAAGGCTCACGTAATCAGAGTGCTTACAATCAACTTGGTGTAGATTCAGATAATCCATACTTTATATACAAAGGACAAAAATATTACGCATCCTTTGATTTTCCACACTTAGTAAAACGATTGGCGAGCTTGCTAAGAAAACACAAAAAATTATATTGCGATCAAAAAGTTGTAGCATCATTTGACGATTATGAAACGACATGGTCTATCGATAATGCTGCACAAGGAGGATCAAATTTATTGTCGCATATTACAGAAGCACATCTTCATCCCAATAATTTTGAAGCAATGAATCAAAAGAAGCAATGAGTCAAAAGAGCATTTCAGTTATTCAGTAATAGGTTTGCGGCCGCAATAAGAATAGCGGGCTATGCAAAAGAATTGCAAACTGATACATGGGAAGCGACGGCAAATTTTACAGAACGCATGAATAAAGTAATTGATGCTTTGAATTCATACAGTCCTAATATGAAATTTGGTGGTAAACGATTATTATCTGATAAAAATCCTGGAATTGAAAATCTGTTAAAAATATTTGTCACATAGTGTTCAAAATGGTCAACATCTCCTGTTTGAGAGCGCTGAAGGGACTCAAGATTTGCGGAGTAGACGTTGAATTTTAGAAGCAACTCTCCTTTAAATTTCACTTTATTCAAACAAAATTACAAAAGTACAAGACACACAAGTTCACAAAGAAAGACGAGAAGTTAACAAAGCGGTCAGAGTTGAACTCTTTTAGCGGTTACAAGCGGTGCGACACGTTGCGCGCGAGACGGTTGCTAACTAAGCCGAAAACGCTGCGCCGGCCGGCCCTTTTTGTAGGCTGTTGAGCAAAGCGTCCCCCGACTTGCCTATTGCGTTTTGGGGCGTACCATTGGCTGTCGAACACGTCGTCTCGCGCGCGAAAAATGTTTGTTGTTTGTTAGTGGCGTGAGCAATAGTCGGCCGATCAGCATGGGCTCTTGTTGACAGATTTCGTGACAAACAAGAACAAGATGGCTTTGTTGAGAGCCGCCGTTATTTCCTAGACTGTTTAAGAAGCCCATGTCATGCACAATTATTTTACTTTAATTGCGGCAATAAATCGCGCTTTCCAACATTCCCGCCCGCCTCGTCAGTTCGCTGACGAAAGAGATTTGATACCGTTCCGTAGATGTCGCGAGTCGCGGTATCGAGAACTGTTCGAGAGTGATCAATCGATAGGGCGGTCGATGACAATCAATCGCTCGTGGCCGCGTGTGAATGCGCACGTTGTATGCCATCACCACGCGTGTCATAAAATTTTCGGACGGTGTTTTAGAACAATGGTGTGCCTTCTTTCGAGTGTACATGATAAATGACACGCGTCGAGTGAAGAGGAGCGGACGGGAAAGTGAAAGGTAAGGTGGTTTCAGTGAATTGAGTTTCGCGAAATGATGCAGTGACAATTGTAGTGCATACGCAGCTCGGTGTTAGTATGTCGTGCGTAATCGTGATGGCACACGGCGTGCATCAGGGAACTCAAGCACAACGCGATAGACTTTAAGTGTTGACGAGAAAACAGTTAACGAGAAAACGAGAGTTACAGAAATAGCACCTGAATGGTGCTGAGTAAGTGACTACAAAGGGGGAAAGGGGGGAGAAGGAGAGGAAATTACGCGGAAAAGGTGAGAAGGTGATGCGTTCGCTCACGTATCCCCAGGCGCGACAGTGTCGTCAGTAGGAAGCAATATCAATTTTACGAGCGGCCGGATGAGCTCGGAGGAGATGGTGCGGATGGTCACCACGCGGATCACATCCTCTTCTGGGTGCAGCTCGGTGATCCGCCCCAGAGGCCATCGAGTTGGCGGCATATTCTCGGAACAGATGATGCAGAGGTATCCGACGTGTGGTTGGATGTTCGGTCAAGTCCATTTCGGCCGAGTTGCCAAAGCGTGAAGGTATTCGCGCGATCACCTTTGCCAAAAGTGATCGCGCATTTTTTGGAGATGCTGCCACCGGGAGAGGGAGCTGTCCGTTCTCTCAATTAATTGCGGCTCCGGAATGGCCAGCAATGGTGCGCCGATAAGCAGGTGTCCTGGCGTCAGAGCGAAGAGATCATCAGGATCGTCGGAGAGAGCCCGCAGTGGTCGGGAGTTGAGGCACGCCTCTATCTGAGCAAGGAGAGTGCTCATCTCCTCAAATGTGAACTTGGTATCGCCGATGACTCGCCGGAGGTGATATTTGGTGGATTTCACCGCCGCTTCCCAGAGACCTCCGAAATGAGGTGCGGATGGTGGATTGAAATGCCACCGGATTCCTTGTTTGCGGCGGTGGAGGCTATGCGGCGACCATCGGGCGATGAAGCGCGCTGCATTTCCCTCAGCTGCTTGTCTGCTCCAACAAAATTTGTTCCGCAGTCGGAAAAGATGTCCTAACAGAGGCCTCGGCGGAAAGTGAAACGGCGGAGAGCGGCTAGGAAAGCCTCCGTCGTGTAGTCGGAGACGGCTTCGATGTGCACTGCTTTGGCGCAGAGACACACAAAGATTGCAATGAATGCCAGGGGTATCAGATTCTTTGAGAGTCATATCGCAAGTTTGTTACTGCAAGGTAGCCCAAAAGTAGACCAATATCCTAAGTACTGCTCCCTGGTGAGAAAAGAGCATAACTAATGAGATTCTTTAATATGATTGATTCCTTTTCTCACCAGAGAAACTAAATGTAAACCAATAATATTATTCGCATTTTTTTTGCGAAGTGGATTGTGTTTATGTTGTGATTGCGTCGTGTTGTCCTATACACCCTACCAATCCTACCATATCTGAAATATTCAAATATTTTTTATTCTCGATACAGTCGTGCAGTGATAGATATTCTCGTTCTTTCTCAATATTTTGGTTTAAACCATTACTTGTGTGTTCCCGTGCTTAAAGTACTTAAACGACGACGCTGTTGAAGAAAAATATAAAAAATGGGTAAATGGGAAAAATATAAAAAACGATTTAAAACAGAATGGCAGAAAGAGAACGTATTTCGAGGTGAATTAAGTTTTAATATAATGTCAGCTAATGTCACATAATGATTTTATGCATAATCTTTTATAAAATTTATTAAACTTTGTGTTAAATGAGGTTGTTTCAAAAATAGTACTTCGTGTTTTATTGAAGGTTGGCTTATAGAAAATCCAAACTGGAAAATAGACGATGGAAAGAAGGCAAGATGTTCTGTGTGTAAAGTAAATCTTCGAGCTCATCATGACGGCTTAATAAAACTGCAAACTCGAAAATGCATAAATCAAAAATGCAAAACGTTAATAGAAACGTTCAACAAAGTGTTAAAAATTTTAGTAAGTTAACCTAAATTACAGTTTACAAATTATGTATATATATATGTGTACTGTGCGCACACACACACACACACACGCACGCACGCACGCACGCACACACACACGCACGCACGCACACGCACACACACACACATACATTCTTTGTAATTATGTTTGAGATATGATAAGACATTTTTCATATTGTTTTTGACAGGAATTAAGGTTGTCGATTTTGAAACAAAATCAATAGATTTACAACTTACTATGTATATTGCATCTCATACGTCCATAAAAAGTATAAATCATATTGGTGAACTAAGTAATAGGAAAAGGAAGCAAATTAGAAAAATTACAAATTCATCGCACTAAGTGCTCGAAGTTAATAGCAAACGTATTAGCGCCAGCTATATTGTCGGATTTAATAGAAGACGTGAAAGAATGTAAAACAGGATACTCATTGATTATAGACGAGTCAACTGATATTACCGTACATAAATTTATGGGTATTTGTATAAGGTAAGTAGTATAAGGCACAAGAGAATCAACTAATGATAGGAAATGAAGAACTCTAAGTCTTAAGTCAATGTAAATCCCTGCATTATGCAAAAGTCTGTGCTTCCGCCCTTATTCAGTTTTGAATCCTTCCCAATGAAATAATGACCATTCTGATTTTTTAATTTTCTCAGGTACTATAGTAAGAAATATCAAACAGTGGTGATTGACTTCCTTGGATTTATCGAACTAAAAAGAGCAACAGCCAATGACTTAAAAGATGCTCTTATAGAATATTTAGACAAAATTGATCTCAATATTAAAGAACTAATAGGATTAGGTACAGATGGAGCAAATGCAATGTGCGGATCAAATCATTCCCTATATACACTTTTAAAAGAGATGGTATGTATTATTTGAATTTATTATTATAATATTCTGTAGTTTCTAATATACAGCGAAGCTGTATGAATTTGTTTTTCTAATTTGCTTCCTTTCCCTAGTATTATACTTTTAAGAGTTCACTAAGATGATTAATACTTTTTATGGATGTATGAATTGCAATATACATAGTAAGTTATAGATCTATTAATTTTGCTTCAGAATCGACAAATGAATGAATTGAATGAATTCCTGTCCAAAATAATATGAAAAATGTCTTGTAGTAAAGCTGTATAAATTAAAAATTACAGAGTATCACAATACTGAATTATTGCATAAAATTTATATTAGCTATTTCAAATTTAAACATTACAATTTTATTGCAGGTGCCACAGTTGCAATTGGTGAAGTGCGTATGCCATTCTTTGGCCTTGTGCTCATCATACGCAGGCAAAGAAATTTCAGAAACATTAGAATTTTTAATCAGAGAAACTCGATCATGGTTTTCAAATTCAAGTTTAAGACAAACTTTATATAGGGATTTATATGCTGCTATTAATGATGGCAAGTTACATAAGAAGCTTATTCCTCTGTGTAAAATAAGATGGCTTGTATGGAGTATGGCTGTAAAATCAACATTACAACAGCTTGAATTGAAAACTCATTTTATCGAAAGGGCTAATGATCCAAAAGAAAACTGTTACATGGCTACGATTTTGCTTGATTTGTACAACGATGATTCAAATCTTCTGTATCTCATATTTTTGAAACCTGTGCTTAAGCAAATTGACTCTGTGAATCTTCTTTTTCAAAGTCAGACAGCTGAAGTAACAGATTTATTTGGAGAACTCCGTGTTCTATTAAGGGGGGATTCAGGTTTTTCGGGTCAAAAACATAGCAAAATTTAGGAATTTTTTTTCCGAAACTAACTATCCAATTAATTCGAAATTTGCACCATGTTTTTATCCATCTTTTAAGAATGTACAGTTTTTTTTGTTAAGTTTTACTGATAAATACCGAAGTTACATATTATTAAATATACCGCTGC